CAATTTAAGATGGTGAAAGAATTTTTGAAATCAGATGAGTAGTTTTGGAGATTACCTGCTGCATACAAACTAACATACAAACATTACCTCTTTATTATATTAGTATAGATTATTTCATCCATTTTATGAAATCGTTAATGTAAAACTTATGTTTTGAAAATTAAAAGAATTTAGTTTTAATTTTCTGATCACAAATTTGAATTAAATTAAATTTTATTTTAATAATAAGTTTAATATATTCCATTGGCTCATAAATTAAAGGACTCGTACAACATGAATTTTATAAAACACGGAACGGATCTACCGTGTTATAGGGGGTCTACTGTACTTTACCGGTGATAGTCATCTATTAACTGGTAAATTTGTTATTTTGTATTTCAGTTGGTGGCATTGTTGGTGCACATTACAACTAAAAAAATAAATAATTTTCTGATTAATAATTTTTAAAATCATTGATTTTTGTTACAAAAGTGGAATTGAATAATTGTATAAAAAATTTTATCTAAAATACACTCTTAATACTTTTACTTTAAATACAAAATGACATAAAATATATGCTTATTACGATCCTTTTAAGACTTGGAACGTTCGATGCCAATATTCCGTTGATAACATTACAGGATAAAAAATTCAATTTATTACAAGCAATTACAGTATGAATGTGTACACTTTATACTTATCACAACCTGTACACTTCATACAAAACTGTTATATTTATAAACAACTCTTTTTAACTCAGCACACCATAATATTTAACTAGAGAAATTGCAACAGGAATGTTTATCCTCGACTGTATTTTTCGGGAAAAAGTCTACAGTTTGCGTACACTGTACATTACATTGAAATAATTCTTGCCCTGTACTTACAGCATGGAAAAGATCCATTTACAGTAGTACGAATTTTCTAATAATTCTTCTTATTTGTCTCCAAGTGTCTTACTTTACTAAATTTTGTCTTCCAGCTGAAAAGGATTTGCCCAATGGACAAGGCTTTAAAGCAACTCTAGAAAAAGATCATATGCCAATGGATAGTTGCATATTAAGAGGCACCTACTTAATTTGTCTGAACAAATAGACACTAGAGGAACTTTCTGAGGAAATGTGGCCCCAAAAAGGTTTTAGACACGTAGAAAATATTTGTAAAACTGCATTGTTTTTGCGACTTTTTCGCAATCTTTTCATTATTTTATGGTTAAAAAAGGTCATTCGAAGGAGCCCATCGCCTATTTTTTACAATACTAATAACACACAAGCTTATTGCAACACTTGTTTGGGTATCTATGCCTCGAATTTAGTCTGACATGACACTTTCAACAAAATAAATAATAAAAAAATAAAATTGATACAATACAAAAAAGCGAATATATTTACTGCATATGTAAAATATCACCTTTGCAATGTTTATCGACAGATAACTTGATGTAAATAAAATATTGTACGTGTAAAAAATTGTTATTAAAGTTTTATATATAATTTTTATTTTATTTACTTTACAGGTAACACGCAAGTAATGTAGAAAATTTAATAACAAAAATTTTTCCAGGTGACGTCGGTAGATGGTGCGACGGTTCACTTTGAATCACGTAGCGTATATCCCACTGTTCGTAGGAGTGACTTTGAATGTGTCCAGTGGGACGAAAATGGAGGAGGAACGTGAACTGCCGCAAGACAATAGTGATTCAGAAAGTAAGTTTGGAAAGTAAATTATTATTATTTTTTAAATTAAGGTAAAGAATAAATTCGAAACGAGCAGTGAAACTAATTAGAAAGTGAGTAGGACAAGCACGACTGGCATTTTACTTGTTAAAGTTCCTTCCAGTTACGTTACGTTTGATAAACTTTTCGAAAGTTTGTGTTGTAGAATTAAATAAAGGAGTTATGTTGTAAAATATAGTTAAAAATGGTTGAAAATTGTACATTTTACTTGGAAACAGATTTTATTGTCATTAAATGTGTGAATAATTTATAAAATTGTCTTTAATTCAAAATATCAATTATAATTATGTTATACAGTAGACTCCTCTATAACACGGTAGACAAGTTCCGTTTTACATGAATTTCGTGTTTTTCCAGTCACTTAAATACATGAGACAATCACAGCTTGGCACGTGTGCAGTTTAGGGACTACAACTGTTTGCAAGGTTTTCTTCTATAAAATTAATCGATTCTAGGCTAAATTGACTCAACATTTCCAAAACACGTATAATTTTTTTTTGAATAATTCATATAAACTATGCTATAAACAAAAAAAAAATTGTAAAATTACTTACCGAGTGGGCACCATTCGACGACTCCATCACTTAAATTAAGCTTGTTTTCGTCGCGGAATAGCGCATCGAACGGCAGGCGCGTGTTTCCTGATAAGTTATTTTTCTGCGAAAAATTTGCTGAACTTTGGAGACATTATTAATATAAAAATAATTTTTATGGCCGTTAAATAATAAATGGTTTTTAGTAGGTCCAGTGCTCGTTTAAACTCAACAGTTTGTGCAATATCCGCTATTGGTCTAGATTCGACCAATCCTGTAGCAACACGAGTCGGCGATGACGTTTTACCGTATTATACGAGTCTCTTTTAGCGTGTTTATACGAATACAATCGGAATGTCTTGCCGTGTTATACGAATCCGTATTATATAAACCCGTTTTATAGGGGGATCTACTGTATATAATTTTACCAAATGTTGAAATCTTAAATATGTTTGAATTATGAATAATAAAAGTTTTTATAAATGTAAAAAGGTTATTTTTAAAACCAAGATGGTGAATTCTACTAGTGGATACGTGATAGACGACGACCACGTGAATTATAAAAGTTAGCGTTAATATCATTGATGTTGATATTGACTATCTTCTACTTATAGCTTGTTAACAGAAAATATGTACAGTACATACCTTTATATATTTGAGAAGTTATTTATTCGTTAATCGTAAAACTAAACACAAAGGATTTGTCTAGAATATTATCGTATAAGGATCATCCTTACTGTATGAACTCTCCGAAGAAATGAATGGCTCTGCCTGTTAGCTAAGAACACTTGATGAGTTGTCTATTGGATCTTTAATCTGTAGAGAGGACTGATTAGTGACTAGAAGGAACGGGTGACGTTTCTTCCCGGATGGGACTAACCCGAACTTTTTGGGATTAAAAATGTTTTTCATTTATGAAGGTTCATATATAGTTTAATATTCAGACAAAACGTATTGAATTACATGTATAAAGATGACGTCGATGGATAATGTCTAGATGCAAGTAGAAAAAGAAAAGGGTCTCCGCATGTCACACCTCTTCCTTTCATTAGCTAACACATTTCCCATTGTCAAATGAGGTTTTAAATGAAACTTTACGTAACGTTTCGTTTACGTTTCGTCACGTAACACTCGTTATGTGCTTCACTTCGACATTGCATTTATAGCTGTTTTTTTTTTTTAAACTCTTTTCTACCTCCAAAATAAAGCTTATTGCCTGTAATAATGTTTGGGATCATCCATAAATTATAACACTATTTTCATACTTTCTAACAGCCATCCGTCATCCTTTACGCACCGTAACGCCGTCGCACGTACCCATGCTAAAAATTACGCGATAGAACGGGGTGTCGTACGTTTCATTATTTATTAGGTGTATAACGTATAGTACAAGGCAGTGGCGTAAATAAGGCACGCTATGCAACATTTCAGTAACAAAAATGAATCATTGTTACCCAAGGATTGATATTTTAAAATCACGTGACGCTTTTTTAAATATCCCACCCATTCCCATGCATCTGATTACCTGCATACCCATCCAACGTATGCGGAATATGCAATTTATGGACCCATTTACATTTATTTAAACTATAATTAAGGTAATATAGTTTTAATAAATTTCAGAAAATTACAACAAATTTAAAGTTTTGTAAATTACAAATTTTCTGAGTGATGCTTCTCATAATGAAGTAATAAATCAAATCTGAAGCTTGATGTTCTCTCTCCCCTGATAAAATAAGGGTTGTAAAATTTGTAAACATGTATTTTCAATCATTACTGTGTAATTTTGATGGTTTCTGGAAGAGATGTGAAACATTCACGCCACAGTTCATTTCAGAGGGATCTCATAAGGCTGCGTGCTGTTGCAATTACATTTTTACAAGTAATTAAAACACAATAATTGTTGTGTGAAGTAAATTGTTTGTAAATCCTATCAAAGATATCAGTTATAAAAAATTATTTTTTACATATTCATATTTCAGTTTGATGTTTATTTCCTGTAGATGGTGATCAATCATCTTCTACTCAAGAAGGAGGTGACCAAACAATTGGTAAGTTTATTCATAGAACTTTTATACTTTTACGTGTAATTAGTTACAACATACTAACCTAATTTAGATACTGAAATGGAAGAACAAGAAATTATTTTTGAGGGAGTAGAGAAGATGCAGGCCACTGCACAGGATACTCCAGTTGAAACTAGGATAATAGAAGGATCATTTCCTCTTTTTGAAGGCCCGAACAGAGGTAAATTATTATAGTATCGAGCATTCCTGAATTAAGGCAAGTAGAATATTGAAAATCTTAACTTTGTAATGGGCATAAAAAATTGTTAATTGAAAGAAACAAAGTATGACGCATATACGAGACCTTACCTGAATAGAAACTCTGTTTAATCTGTTTAATATTTTAGAAAGAATAGAAGAAATAGAAACAGAAGAAGAAGAAACAGAAATGAACCATCAGATCACAGAATTGGCAGAAAAACTTCAAACATCACATGTCGGAAAATGTTACGTCTGTGAAAAAATAGGTCGAATATATAACAGCATATACTTGTGTTGCGACTGTATCAATAAACTTGAAGAACTGACTGAAAACGGGCCAACAGTCTTCTGCGATATTGGATGTCCCAAAAATTGCTCTTCCTGTCTTCTTTCTATTGTTTTCCGATACATGAAAGTGGAAGATATTTCTAGTAAGTGTTTTTATTACTTAGAGATTGTCTTATTTCTTTTTAAAATGTATTTCTTCTATACTCAGCATATAGAAAAATCGATTACAATTCGGAATTATTGAATGAGTATGTGGGTGGAGGAACAAAAGACAAGGTGAGTCCTCTCTTGAAGTATCCATTTGTTGTTCTAAAACGCGTGTCTAGTTACAAAATGGAATTTTAATTCCATATGGTGGATTACTCAATTTGATATTTCATTCGATGTATGGAATCCATGAGATAAGCGATGATACTTAACAATATACAAGAAACTAAATATTTTTATATGAAAAACAGTCCTTGGAAGAAAAAGGTGCCGATGCTCATTTTGCCAAATACTTGGATCGGTGTTGGGATCGATATCTTCAATGGGTCTGGGAGCAGAAAGACATTTTTCTATTGACCGTCGACCAAGCGGTAAGTGATGACCTTCAAATTTAACATTCTCTTAAGACTGCAAGGTTATGTTTTAAGGTTATGTTAGCAATCTCTCTGCCCATTAAGTTTTTTGGGGTTTACTTTCTCAAGTGTTTTACATGGACGGTCTGTTCTGCAAATGTCCCAATTAACAACCTGAAGAAAGATTTAATTGTTAACAGAAGTGCAAAGAATGAAAAAATTTAAATGGAACTAAATTTTTCTCAAATATGGACGTTTTTACTGACCATACACTTAATTTATTTGCATTTCAACAATGCAAAGCGAGTGAATTATTTAATTTTTTTCTGATTGTTAAACAGGACATAGCAGAATGTGAAGATGCGATGATTCTTCTATTGGTGACCGTACTATTTTTTTAGCCATGTTTAATTATGAATTGTTTTTGAGGTCGTCATTATAAAGAAACTTTGTAATTTTTGCCACTTACGTATATTTGGGTGATTGAATCATCGTTTGTTTATACATACTCTGGGTGTTCAATGCAATTGTTCTGCTTCAACCCAAGATGAAACGAAGGATGAAATTTCAGGATCTAACCTCTAGAAAGGATTGGGATTCGTACTACTGAAGATACTAAGCGAATACATTGATTGACGGGCATCTTGGCTAACAAGAAGTGGGAGGAAAAAAAAAGATTTCAAAACTTCTCCGCTATTACATTTACAATAATTTTTTAAAAGTGTAAAAAGTAAAGACCTTTTAAAAGTGGATTATTAAAAGCAACTTTTGGCCAGATCTCTAAAGAACGATAAAGACTTTGTAGTTAGTGCTGAAAGTCTTAAACTTTGATTTCAGTGAAAGATTAAATGTGTCGTCAATTTATTGTGTTTCACAATTCTAGTTCAGGTCGGAGATTCATTATGATTTTAAACGAAGATTTGTTTTCGTTTCAGATCGTTGTTTTAAAAGCAAATGGCAACAAAGGAAAGTACCTAACAGCAATTGCCGATCAGGTAGGCAAAGGGCCAGCCTTCAGAGTGGACGAGGGATACATCAATCCGGATGACATCAAATCCTACAAGTACAGATGTTTGTTCTTTACTATCCTGAATGCAGCCAGACAGATGTCCAATTTAGATTTTTCGTTTTACCATTTGTATCTCCTGAAGTTACTTTGCCTCTTTTACTTGGGTGAGTGCCCAGTCCTCATTATTACCCTTTGATCAAATATATTTTAACTTTTCCCTTTATCTCTAGACGAGGCAACAAGTAAAGCGTGTATCACCCTTTCAGATGCGACGACATTAGCTGAAGATTATTCGTTTCTATTAATGCAAATATGCTCCGAAAAGCAAGTGGTAGCCATCAGAGAAGTTATGGATTTGGTACAGTCACTTGACAAGCAACTGACTATCAGAAACGAAAACAGTAGAGCGGTGGAAAGACGTATCGAGGCTTTATGTAAGTAGGACGACAATCGTTTCTCTATTTTTTGCGTGTCTAACGAAATACTTTAACTTTTAGTGGAGGAAAATCGAGGAAAGATCAGTTTTCAACTTCCAGTAAGTAAATTTTTTCGATTTGTATATTATTCTGTTAGAAAATTGTAGTTCAAGCAGTGGATCGCAGACTATGAAAAGGAGGAATAAGCTATAAAAGAGGCATCGTACTGTGCATTATACAAGGAGCTTTAAATCCTGATTTAAAGATGGATCAATCCTCGCACACGGTGGCACTTGTTGCATTTGAAGCTAACGTGGCCTCTACAACAAGGAATAAGTTTCAACAAACAAAGTTAAATTAGTCAATGGACAAATATCATTTATTAGTTTCTTTTATACATAGGTATTTGCAGAATAGGCTAAAAGTCTCGAGTTTTCTGTAGTTTGAAGATTAAGAAAATGGCAATCGAAATGAAAAGGGGCACTTGCCAGAGTATATAGGCGCCTCTGACTCTGAGTTTTTTTTTTATTTTGAAAGACTCAAATCCGAAGCGGATTTTTGTGATGATTCTTCAGAAATTTCAAGATCGATCGTCATTTTCATTCAGGTTTATCAAAAATCTTTCCTCAACGATGAAAATCGACTTCACTTGTCAGTTGAGTTTCTCGCGAACAATTTAAACTTTTCCGTAATCTCGGACTTTTCGAATTTATTCTGTCTGATAATGTTTTTGTTGTAAATTATTAGTTATTTAACACACGGTTTCTTATGTTAGCATCCACTCGGACAGGAGAGTATTCCATATCGCTTCATAAACGAAACCTTCCATGAATGTCTGTCGGCTGCAAGGTCCTGCCTCGTGGATCATTTTACTCTGCACGATTCTCGAAGCTTGATTCAAGCCAATATAATCAAATCGGCGCTGTTTTTTCGCTCGATGTATGATATTCCAAAATCGTCGCACTACGATGACGAAATCACCATACAGTTGAAGAAGATACTTCAAGATATAAAAGAGACTGGCAGACGAATTGGATTTCATTCTGGAAACGCCATAGTACCAACGCAGTTGTTGTTGACAAATCCAAGTAAGTAGAAAATTATTTTCAAAGTTCTGTAAAATTAAACTGTGTTTAGCGTTACATATAGCATAAGTATATTTTACGTTCTATCGGAATATGTAAAGAATATGGTGAAACGTATTGCTCTAGTATATGGACGTTTTGAACGTTTGTTTGACTACTCTTGTGCTTAATTAATTGAGCTTTAAAATACTTCTGCATTCTAGTTAAATGTCATTATTTTCCATCGAGGAGCAATGAAAAAAGAGAGAGTTAACATCCATTAACATTAAAGAATTTGTTGAACAGTGAGATTATAGCAACTGTACAGATTCCATATCGTTTTGTCATCGCTGTAGTATTTGGTGTTGTAAAATTACCACGCGAATTTGCGCAATTTTCGCTTCAGCACCACTGTTACATTGCTGAATTTAGCAATGAGCGCATTGTATTAGTGTTAAATTAATGGGTTCATAAATTATTCTTTATAGCTTTAAATCTCATAAATTAATGGTTTTATTTCCTAGTCAATTATGATAGCCTTCGTAAGATTCTGTAAGCAATTTGCTCCACCATTAACATATCCTGTTTCTAATTATATCTAAGCCTTAGTTACGCCCGTTTGCATGTCATTACAGCCTATTAAAGGAGCTACCACACACTGAATTATTAGTTGGAAGGGTACGAAAAAGTGAAGAGAGAATACGAAAATCCTTCGTTTTCTTTTATTTAAATTTGTACTTGTTGTCTGTAAACGATATCCACATCATGGGTTGAAATAGATTTTTTTCTTACATTTTTCCGGAAGGAGGTCCTAAAATTTATGGATTGCAGGAATGAAAAGCAGAAAAACTGGAGTTGTCACGCAAGTTAGCTGATACTAGGTCTACTAAAACAAAAATACATTGAAGGCTTATCTCACTAAAACTCATGTAACCAGTACTAAATCCCTATCCTACTTTGGAACTTTAGCCAAAAATTGCAATGCACTAATTTTTAGTGTTTTCAAGAACAATATTGCATCGTGTTCTTAAATTATTACAGAAACTTCAATATTTATTATTCTTTTGCAGAGGAAACATGATTACTTGCTACATGTATTTTTAAGATCATTTGTTTTATTACTAGATAATCTCCCTATCTAATTTCGAATTATGTTTTATATAGATGCTCCGTAAATCTTCGTATAATTTAATGTATAGATTAGTAACAATTAATCAACCAACCAACAGAGCAGAAAATAAGGTTGTGGAAATTAATTTGTCAAAATACACCTCTGGCGAATTCTAGGAATTCCACAAAGATGACTCTTGCACAAATAATAAGGCAGAATGGCGTTTGAGCTAGGGTTTTGAAAATTATTTCTCTTCTGTTATCTTCGCAATGTTCTGCAAGTCTTGTTTCACTATACAAGTTCATAGCCTTTCACTCCCGTTGTGTTTAAATATACTGAATAGTGTTCTGACATCACCAAATAACACAGAAGACATTTTGTCAGTTCGAATGGGTCCACAAACGGCCATCCCTTCTACATATATAGAAGGAATGGCCGAACGCTAGAGTTGTCACATATACTAAACTTATAAATTTAAAGTAAAAAGACTAGAATTACTAAAAATCCTATTATTTTAATATAGAAGTAAATAAAGATGTTTATAATTTTTTGAAAAATTGAAAATAAAGTACTAATTACGTTGCAGGATCAGGAGTGAAGATGCGTTATACCTCGCAAGTGCACTTGAAAAAAGTGTTCCTGCATAAATTGTCTGCAGTGAGCAAGATAGACGTACCTACTCTCAAATGCCTTATGCCGTCGACCGACTTGCAGGGCTATCTCCAAAACGATAAACTACTCTCACACTTTATTCTCTTCTCTTCATTCTTGCAGAAGATCCTCCAGGCCGAAGCACACGTCACCCAAATCGGGTGTGGATATTTATTTGATCATCGACTTATAACCTTTGAATTGTACTAATTTTTTTTCCATAATGAGATGCGACAGAAGATTTAATAATCGCGTATTGTTAGTCATTCCGTGATCCTCGAAAACGAAACCTTAACCATGATTTATCTTAACTTGGATTTGTGAAAGGAAGACTTCAGTAATTCCTATTGTGTCGGGAACAGAGAAACGCCGACTTTGTTAAATAAACGCAATGTTAGTATTGTAATCTTAGGTGTTCGTACAATTTCGACATGTGATAAATTTACTTCTTACTTAAATCGAATCTTCTTGTAATAATGTAACTTATACTGTTAATTGTTAATTTAAGCAAGTCTTAAAATCTATGTTTAAATCTTATTTTTGTAACTTAAGAAAACAAAGTTTAATCATTTATCGCAATTATCCGGGTCCTTAGACTGAATAAAAACATATTGTGGTAATGCATGTAGTTTGATGCCTTTCTGTACTTTGCGTAGAAACCTGCAGTAACTCCTCAATATCCTGCTCGTCTGCCTCTCCTAGTGCTGCTGTATCGATGAGGTTGACAAGTTGGTCAACCTAACGATACAGCGATAAGCTTTTTTCATTGAGAATTGTTATTGAGATATCTCCAGCCATAACTTCTTCCACACTCCATTTACGTATTTATCGGTTAATTCTTGCCATGACAAGTCGATATTGCCTATGGTATCCATGTTTTTAAAATTGAACAAAGCAAACATAGATTTAAGGCTACGATTGAATTGCCATATTTTGCTAATTAATTCGTGTTTGTGAATAATCGTATTATATACGAATCAATGAAATGACGTGATGATTTGAATCAGCGTAATTTTTGAGCTGCTTTTTAGGCTTCGAGCATACAGCGTTTTATCGAATCAACGTTAAGCGGGTTTTATTGTATATCATTTTAGATTTGTATGGTATAACTCGGCACATACAAAATGCGTGTCGTATGGGCGTTCGCAGCAAGAGACCCCATTATAATATATGTAAAAAAGTAACGGGCATATTCTAATTGTATTGTATTCTAATTGTTGTAATGTTCCAAGATATAAATATGAGAAGAAAAATATTCAACGATAGATACACCTTTTTTTTAGTCTATTCTTACAATACTTTACGTCGTTCGTTCTTTAGATTTTTATTACACATGTGAACAATAATGAGCAAATCTATTGGAAATTGTACAGAACTATACAGGAAGTTTCGAAATTCCTGTTACAAACTCGCTGTTACTTAAGAAATGTGTCCTATATGTTCGTAATCGGAATTTCGAAAAACTGTATATTTTTTTTAGATTAACTGCTTACATTTTACGCAGGGATTTGACAAGCCAGGCTAACATAAAACCGAAATTTTTTGCAAAAATAGTTTGTTAAACTAATAAGTTAAAGTTACAACAGATCTCGGTTTACGCTTGTAAACACGTTAGTCTTCTTGTATATATTGAAACCGTGTCTTCTTTTTCTTGTTTGGCTTAATGTCACGACTAGGTGAATTCATAGACATTTGGCGATTTTTATCGTAAACTTTTTAATTCAGATCTATATTTGTCGAGATGCGTTTCGGGTTTCGGCCCCTTCTCGGTCGGCTACACAATAAAACATAAATATAAATTTCTTATATTACATAATACTCTATTATGGTAATTAAAGACATACTATTACATCCTGGGATAACATGTATACGATAACTGAAAATAATTTTAGTTCACTGTTGAATACAATCAATTATTAAAATTTTGGTGATTAAAAACGTTTTTAAAAGAATTTTTTAAACAAATAAAACCTTTTTAAAGTTGAGGTGATTTTGCAGCTAGCTTATATCTTATTCTTACCCAAGACATCTCTCAGGCACTTTCTGCATCACAACCACCCTTCTTTTAATCATAAGACTGGCAATAACGTTGCAAGCCTATTTCACATTTACATAAGGCTTAGATCACCTTAGTTACATATTCCCCATTGGGATATTATAATTATATTTATTTATTTTAATAATTGTAGCCAATTTTTATGAAGTTTTGTGTTTAAATTTTTGTTAATAATATTTTTCTCGGTATTAATTATTTCGTAGCTCTTTGAATTTTTTCTTCGAGATGTAATGGTATTTTCGATTGTGTTTAACGGCTGGTAAATCGCCATTTTCTGTTTGATTAGGTAAAATCGGATCGAGCGTTGGCATCTTTTCCATATTCTAATTTGATCGGCAATTAGTAACGTCGATAGGAGTTAACAGAATAATTAAAATGAAGAGGAGCAGCATATTCGCCAGTTCAATAATTTCCCAATTACAACAATATCAATTTATTGTTGACTTACAATAGTTCATTCATTCTATTATTGTTATTTTTACTGTATAATGGATATAAAATATAACTAAATGACTTCTCAGTATTGCTAATTATCTTAACCAGTTATTAATAATTCAGCTATAGGTTTTGCAGTATATTTATGATTGTCTGGTATCGCATTAACAAGGAAGCAACTGATAGACATTTTTTTAAAAATTCAACTGTTCCGATTACCGGGCATGTGATTTAAACGATATCGGTTAACCGAAATGAGTTTTCTATTTTTCACGGAGACTCGAGAGTTCATAGGTTTACAAAATTATTAAAAGGTAAAACAGTAAATAATATATATTTGTTAAATTCACTTTCGGTTTTTTTCTTATTAAAGTTAATTATAGTTCATATTAATAAGCGTGGTTTTATTTATGCTGAAAATATTACAGTAAACCCTCAATTTTATGACAAATAATATGTAGACTTTTCTTTTTCATATTTTGTATTCTATTCAAATAAATGTACTAAAAAGTAAAAAGAAATTAATATTTTTTTCTGATTTTACAATACTCTTTGTAGCATGCAACCAAAAATAAGTGTGGAACTCGTAGAAAAACATTAAAAGGTGGCAGAAAGTGCAACTAAAAACATTTTTAAACACGAACACCCCACAATTCAATTTTTGGTCTCGTGATACCAAGAACACTGTGAAGGCTGGAAAAAAATTACTACTACTTTCCCGCCCTGTATGTATACATAAGCAAAATATTTATACATAAGGGGAAGTATAGGAACCATCTGAGTTCTTTGCAAATCTACAATTTTTTTGACATTTTGTATTCAATGATGAAGATACTAAATTAGGCACAGGAATTAGCATATAAGGGGCATTAATGCTATAAAATTTTGGTTGTTAAAAGTCGAGGGGTGAGAGATAAAGGAAGGTCGTGTGTCTTATTAGCTTTTACAGTATTTTTTTATGAAATTCATCTCAACCTTCAAATTTAAGCTCTCTGCCATTTGCTAATAATTAATAATAATAGGGAATCTTGAAAAGTACTATTATTAAGTTCAAAAATGCAACGTCAAGAAGTGCAAAAAAAATTCGCGGTTTTTTCTGTATGTATGTTGTTAGTGTGTACAGGGGAACGTTTTGTTCGCCCTCTTTAATACTTAACTGATTGTTGTAACATGAGCACAATCCGGAACTTCCTCTCTCCTTGTCACTCGTTATGTGAAACGTCGCTGGTTAAGCGACTTCTTTTTTATAACTTCTGCTCGTTACGCGAATTACTCGTTATGACAGGTTCTAGTTAAGCGAGGTTACACTGTATATGTAATTAATTTATGTTTTGATATTTTATTTCGTTAAGAAAATTCAAATCTTTTAGGAAAATTCCCATTATTCCACTGTACACATCGGTTCAATCCAGAAATGTCTTGACGTTCGTAGCATAACAGAAAAAATCCAGCTATTAGTTGCTTAACTTTTCTGGCAACTTTTGTTGCGCCATCTGCTATGATACAGTATTTACTCACATATAGAACGAAGTGTGACTTTAAAGACCAAAATAAAGAAAATTAGATCACGTAAAGCTGGACAATCAGGAACCATTTTTGCCAATTCTTAACAGTCGAATTCATTTTTAATCGATTAAACTTATCAGTTACTCCGAATTCTGATTTTCAAATAGTCATCTGTTTTCACGTGGGAATGAATTAAAACTTATATCCTGTTCACGTGTAATTTTGGAATTAAATTCAAAAGCTTTGCTTTTCCTATTGCTGTTCGTCTTTACTCCTGACAATACACACGTACGAATCATACGACCCAGATAAAATACTCTTGTTTTTAAACACCAGAAGGTGAGAATCCGGCGAAAAATGCATTTACACAGTTTACAAAAATTGCAAAAACGAAAACAATCCTTTGTTCGCGCGTATAGGACGACCTAGGTTTTAGAAAAAGTGAAAAATGAACAAAAACCTCGTCTTATATGCGAGTAAACACGGTATATGGTTAAAAATTTTTATACGTTGACTTGTCAAAATGTGGCAAAACGCATAATTTTCAGGATGATGATGGTTTTATGAAAAATTGTAAATTCTTCATTATGTTCAACCCCAGTCGAGATATGACACAGGACACGCTTTCTATTCTCAGTCCATTGACGTTTAACCACCCAACTCTGATACATATATCTATATGCAAAGTTAAAGAAATTTTCGTCAAAAACAACAGAACTTATTATGCTTTAAAAAAGATGAACAAAATCGTGCCACAGACATACACAAACACACTATAATCTATACATATAGAAAAAACCTTCCGAACTTTTTCTTATTCTTCGTCGTTTCAAGGTCTTCCGAGTCCAAAAATGTAAAAATCTCTAAGAATCATTTTCGACTGATCTCCATAAGTTCCCTAATTTATATATGACAGTTGGGAAAGTAAAAAAGTAACTTTTATAAATGAAAAAAAGAACATAACAAATTAGTAATTACGAATGTTTTATTTCTTCTTTTGAAGACAGTTGCGGATGATAAGCAGTTTCTTATGAAATCGTCTGTCAATTAAATCTTAGAGAGATACAGATGCATGGAGGTTCCCGTTGCCTTTCATGCCACAGCGCGTTACGCGGGAAATAATGCCTTTACAGAGTGTATTTTTAAGGATAACTGGCCCCTATTTCAGGCGTTAGAGATATGGAGAAAACCCAGAAAACTCTACGTGACCAGTCCGACCTGGCGTTGAGCGAACTCAAGACAGAACTCAAAATGTTTAGCGAACAGTAGCGCTTGGCCACTGGTGGGCTCGCAATTAAAACTAGTTATAAATGCGATCAAAGTAGCAGTTTCTCTAATGCTAAGTAGCATACCGCGCAGCAATTATCTTCCATCGATCTTGATCATGGGTGAGGACTTCAGCTTCCTCCTACGACATATTGAGCATCTACAGAACTTGAAGAAAAGTTTTATGCCAAGTATTCCTGAGGCGTCGTCGTGGTCATTTTACACCAGGAGGAACCCATTCCATGGCTGTCTTAGTGGGCCTATTGTTTTCCATAGGAAAAGGTGGCCGGCTAATCGAATTTTTCTACAGGCGACAATGTTATGGGGTTTGTACATCCCACTCCTTCGGAGAACCTCTTCATTGGTGATATGATCTAAACATCGAAACTTTAAGATATGTCGTAAACATCTCTGTTGGAAGAGATCGTGAATTCTATTTATGTTCTACGATGAATTCTATTGATGTTCTACGATGAATTCCAGGACTAAATAGCGTAAACAGCTATCGGAATTACGATTGAGGTGAACAGGCAGAATTTGGTTCTCAATCAGATAGATGATGAGGACCATATATTGTTAATCCGCCGTGAAACGGTCGCCGCTGTTCTGATGCAGCAATTCTCGTCGACCTCCACGTCGCCTTTTTCAGAAAGAACACTACCCAAATAGGTAAAACTCTTCTCCAATCGTAGGTAAAACTTTTTCCAATCGTTGTGATTTAACAATTACTCCTCGTGTTTGTGCAGTGTTACATACATGCATAATTTTCGACTTCAGAGAGTTTATCCTGAGGCTAAATTTGTGTGCCTCCCGACTCAATGTGTTCGTGGCATTCTGTAGCATTTTCCAACTTTCCTCTGATAGGGCTATTTTGTGAGCAAAAATCAAATTTCCAAGAGGATCCTGGTCAGACCAGATGATGCGGGCCCCAAGGCGCCAACCACTTTCTTATACTCATCGCATCACATCATCAAGAGCAATGAAAAAGAGAAATGGAGTTAGGACAAACCCTGCCTGACTCCCTCGTAATTTCAAAGAAGACCGTATGACCATCTTCAGTCTCGATGCAACAACTTGAATGCAGGTGTAAAGCCTTGACAACGGTGAAAAATTTGCTTGTACACCATATAGTAACAGGATCCGCTAGAGGAACTCGTGGTGAACACTGTCAAAAGCCTTCTTGAAATCAATAAAATAGATGACCAGTAGATGTCGATACTCAAAGCATTGCTCGATGATATTTCGAAGGAAGAACATCTGCTCGCTGCACGATCTTTTGCAACGAAACCAAAGTTGTACAGTAGAGCATCGATTATCCGACCCCCGATTAACCGTCACCTCGGTTAACCGACCGCGTTCTAGTCGGCAAATTCGAATGTCTGCTAGTGATGTGGCGCTAGAATATTTGGCTATGTCTTGGTTACTTTAATATTATTTTTACGTGTTTTAGCTGGAAACACTGGATCGACCATAAAAGGGAGCCAGTATTTAAACGAGGCTTAATTTTCTAATTTTTAACGATACAATAGCGACGATTATTATTTTAANAGAATACGAAAATCCTTCGTTTTCTTTTATTTAAATTTGTACTTGTTGTCTGTAAACGATATCCACATCATGGGTTGAAATAGATTTTTTTCTTACATTTTTCCGGAAGGAGGTCCTAAAATTTATGGATTGCAGGAATGAAAAGCAGAAAAACTGGAGTTGTCACGCAAGTTAGCTGATACTAGGTCTACTAAAACAAAAATACATTGAAGGCTTATCTCACTAAAACTCATGTAACCAGTACTAAATCCCTATCCTACTTTGGAACTTTAGCCAAAAATTGCAATGCACTAATTTTTAGTGTTTTCAAGAACAATATTGCATCGTGTTCTTAAATTATTACAGAAACTTCAATATTTATTATTCTTTTGCAGAGGAAACATGATTACTTGCTACATGTATTTTTAAGATCATTTGTTTTATTACTAGATAATCTCCCTATGTAATTTCGAATTAGGTTTTATATAGATGCTCCGTAAATCTTCGTATAATTTAATGTATAGATTAGTAACAATTAATCAACCAACCAACAGAGCAGAAAATAAGGTTGTGGAAATTAATTTGTCAAAATACACCTCTGGCGAATTCTAGGAATTCCACAAAGATGACTCTTGCACAAATAATAAGGCAGAATGGCGTTTGAGCTAGGGTTTTGAAAATTATTTCTCTTCTGTTATCTTCGCAATGTTCTGCAAGTCTTGTTTCACTATACAAGTTCATAGCCTTTCACTCCCGTTGTGTTTAAATATACTGAATAGTGTTCTGACATCACCAAATAACACAGAAGACATTTTGTCAGTTCGAATGGGTCCACAAACGGCCATCCCTTCTACATATATTGAAGGAATGGCCGAACGCTAGAGTTGTCACATATACTAAACTTATAAATTTAAAGTAAAAAGACTAGAATTACTAAAAATCCTATTATTTTAATATAGAAGTAAATAAAGATGTTTATAATTTTTTGAAAAATTGAAAATAAAGTACTAATCACGTTGCAGGATCGGGAGTGAAGATGCGTTATACCTCGCAAGTGCATTTGAAAAAAGTGTTCCTGCATAAATTGTCTGCAGTGAGCAAGATAGACGTACCTACTCTCAAATGCCTTATGCCATCGACCGACTTGCAGGGCTATCTCCAAAACGATAAACTACTCTCACACTTTATTCTCTTCTCTTCATTCTTGCAGAAGATCCTCCAGGCCGAAGCATACGTTACCCAAATCGGGTGTGGATATTTATTTGATCATCGACTTATAACCTTTGAATTGTACTAATTTTTTTTCCATAATGAGATGCGACAGAAGATTTAATAATCGCGTATTGTTAGTCATTCCGTGATCCTCGAAAACGAAACCTTAACCATGATTTATCTTAACTTGGATTTGTGAAAGGAAGACTTCAGTAATCCCTATTGTGTCGGGAACAGAGAAACACCGACTTTGTTAAATAAACGCAATATTAGTATTGTAATCTTAGGTGTTCTTACAATTTCGATATGTGATAAATTTACTTCTTACTTAAATCGAATCTTCTTGTAATAATGTAACTTATACTGTTAATTGTTAATTTAAGCAAGTCTTAAAATCTATGTTTAAATCTTATTTTTGTAACTTAAGAAAACAAAGTTTAATCATTTATCGCAATTATCCGGGTCCTTAGACTGAATAAAAACATATTGTGGTAATGCATGTAGTTTGATGCCTTTCTGTACTTTGCTTAGAAACCTGCAGTAACTCCTCAATATCCTGCTCGTCTGCCTCTCCTAGTCCTGCTGTATCGATGAGGTTGACAAGTTGGTCAACCTAACGATACAGCGATAAGCTTTTCTCATTGAGAATTGTTATTGAGATATCTCCAGCCATAACTTCTTCCACACTCCATTTACGTATTTATCGGTTAATTCTTGCCATGACAAGTCGATATTGCCTATGGTATCCATGTTTTTAAAATTGAACAAAGCAAACATAGATTTAAGGCTACGATTGAATTGCCATATTTTGCTAATTAATTCGTGTTTGTGAATAATCGTATTATATACGAATCAATGAAATGACGTGATGATTTGAATCAGCGTAATTTTTGAGCTGCTTTTTAGGCTTCGAGCATACAGCGTTTTATCGAATCAACGTTAAGCGGGTTTTATTGTATATCATTTTAGATTTGTATGGTATAACTCGGCACATACAAAATGCGTGTCGTATGGGCGTTCGCAGCAAGAGACCCCATTATAATATATGTAAAAAAGTAACGGGCATATTCTAATTGTATTGTATTCTAATTGTTGTAATGTTCCAAGATATAAATATGAGAAGAAAAATATTCAACGATAGATACACCTTTTTTTTAGTCTATTCTTACAATACTTTACGTCGTTCGTTCTTTAGATTTTTGTGAACAATAATGAGCAAATCTATTGGAAATTGTACAGAACTATACAGGAAGTTTCGAAATTCCTGTTACAAACTCGCTGTTACTTAAGAAATGTGTCCTATATGTTCGTAATCGGAATTTCGAAAAACTGTATATTTTTTTTAGATTAACTGCTTACATTTTACGCAGGGATTTGACAAGCCAGGCTAACATAAAACCGAAATTTTTTGCAAAAATAGTTTGTTAAACTAATAAGTTAAAGTTACAACAGATCTCGGTTTACGCTTGTAAACACGTTAGTCTTCTTGTATATATTGAAACCGTGTCTTCTTTTTCTTGTTTGGCTTAATGTCACGACTAGGTGAATTCATAGACATTTGGCGATTTTTATCGTAAACTTTTTAATTCAGATCTATATTTGTCGAGATGCGTTTCGGGTTTCGGCCCCTTCTCGGTCGGCTACACAATAAAACATAAATATAAATTTCTTATATTACATAATACTCTATTATGGTAATTAAAGACATACTATTACATCCTGGGATAACATGTATACGATAACTGAAAATAATTTTAGTTCACTGTTGAATACAATCAATTATTAAAATTTTGGTGATTAAAAACGTTTTTAAAAGAATTTTTTAAACAAATAAAACCTTTTTAAAGTTGAGGTGATTTTGCAGCTAGCTTATATCTTATTCTTACCCAAGACATCTCTCAGGCACTTTCTGCATCACAACCACCCTTCTTTTAATCATAAGACTGGCAATAACGTTGCAAGCCTATTTCACATTTACATAAGGCTTAGATCACCTTAGTTACATATTCCCCATTGGGATATTATAATTATATTTATTTATTTTAATAATTGTAGCCAATTTTTATGAAGTTTTGTGTTTAAATTTTTGTTAATAATATTTTTCTCGGTATTAATTATTTCGTAGCTCTTTGAATTTTTTCTTCGAGATGTAATGGTATTTTCGATTGTGTTTAACGGCTGGTAAATCGCCATTTTCTGTTTGATTAGGTAAAATCGGATCGAGCGTTGGCATCTTTTCCATATTCTAATTTGATCGGCAATTAGTAACGTCGATAGGAGTTAACAGAATAATTAAAATGAAGAGGAGCAGCATATTCGCCAGTTCAATAATTTCCCAATTACAACAATATCAATTTATTGTTGACTTACAATAGTTCATTCATTCTATTATTGTTATTTTTACTGTATAATGGATATAAAATATAACTAAATGACTTCTCAGTATTGCTAATTATCTTAACCAGTTATTAATAATTCAGCTATAGGTTTTGCAGTATATTTATGATTGTCTGGTATCGCATTAACAAGGAAGCAACTGATAGACATTTTTTTAAAAATTCAACTGTTCCGATTACCGGGCATGTGATTTAAACGATATCGGTTAACCGAAATGAGTTTTCTATTTTTCACGGAGACTCGAGAGTTCATAGGTTTACAAAATTATTAAAAGGTAAAACAGTAAATAATATATATTTGTTAAATTCACTTTCGGTTTTTTTCTTATTAAAGTTAATTATAGTTCATATTAATAAGCGTGGTTTTATTTATGCTGAAAATATTACAGTAAACCCTCAATTTTATGACAAATAATATGTAGACTTTTCTTTTTCATATTTTGTATTCTATTCAAATAAATGTACTAAAAAGTAAAAAGAAATTAATATTTTTTTCTGATTTTACAATACTCTTTGTAGCATGCAACCAAAAATAAGTGTGGAACTCGTAGAAAAACATTAAAAGGTGGCAGAAAGTGCAACTAAAAACATTTTTAAACACGAACACCCCATAATTCAATTTTTGGTCTCGTGATACCAAGAACACTGTGAAGGCTGGAAAAAAATTACTACTACTTTCCCGCCCTGTATGTATACATAAGCAAAATATTTATACATAAGGGGAAGTATAGGAACCATCTGAGTTCTTTGCAAATCTACAATTTTTTTGACATTTTGTATTCAATGATGAAGATACTAAATTAGGCACAGGAATTAGCATATAAGGGGCATTAATGCTATAAAATTTTGGTTGTTAAAAGTCGAGGGGTGAGAGATAAAGGAAGGTCGTGTGTCTTATTAGCTTTTACAGTATTTTTTTATGAAATTCATCTCAACCTTCAAATTTAAGCTCTCTGCCATTTGCTAATAATTAATAATAATAGGGAATCTTGAAAAGTACTATTATTAAGTTCAAAAATGCAACGTCAAGAAGTGCAAAAAAAATTCGCGGTTTTTTCTGTATGTATGTTGTTAGTGTGTACAGGGGAACGTTTTGTTCGCCCTCTTTAATACTTAACTGATTGTTGTAACATGAGCACAATCCGGAACTTCCTCTCTCCTTGTCACTCGTTATGTGAAACGTCGCTGGTTAAGCGACTTCTTTTTTATAACTTCTGCTCGTTACGCGAATTACTCGTTATGACAGGTTCTAGTTAAGCGAGGTTACACTGTATATGTAATTAATTTATGTTTTGATATTTTATTTCGTTAAGAAAATTCAAATCTTTTAGGAAAATTCCCATTATTCCACTGTACACATCGGTTCAATCCAGAAATGTCTTGACGTTCGTAGCATAACAGAAAAAATCCAGCTATTAGTTGCTTAACTTTTCTGGCAACTTTTGTTGCGCCATCTGCTATGATACAGTATTTACTCACATATAGAACGAAGTGTGACTTTAAAGACCAAAATAAAGAAAATTAGATCACGTAAAGCTGGACAATCAGGAACCATTTTTGCCAATTCTTAACAGTCGAATTCATTTTTAATCGATTAAACTTATCAGTTACTCCGAATTCTGATTTTCAAATAGTCATCTGTTTTCACGTGGGAATGAATTAAAACTTATATCCTGTTCACGTGTAATTTTGGAATTAAATTCAAAAGCTTTGCTTTTCCTATTGCTGTTCGTCTTTACTCCTGACAATACACACGTACGAATCATACGACCCAGATAAAATACTCTTGTTTTTAAACACCAGAAAGTGAGAATCCGGCGAAAAATGCATTTACACAGTTTACAAAAATTGCAAAAACGAAAACAATCCTTTGTTCGCGCGTATAGGACGACCTAGGTTTTAGAAAAAGTGAAAAATGAACAAAAACCTCGTCTTATATGCGAGTAAACACGGTATATGGTTAAAAATTTTTATACGTTGACTTGTCAAAATGTGGCAAAACGCATAATTTTCAGGATGATGATGGTTTTATGAAAAATGGTAAATTCTTCATTATGTTCAACCCCAGTCGAGATATGACACAGGACACGCTTTCTATTCTCAGTCCATTGACTCAACTCTGATACATATATCTATATGCAAAGTTAAAGAAATTTTCGTCAAAAACAACTGAACTTATTATGCTTTAAAAAAGATGAACAAAATCGTGCCACAGACATACACAAACACACTATAATCTATACATACAGAAAAAACCTTCCGAACTTTTTCCCATTCTTCGTCGTTTCAAGGTCTTCCGAGACCAAAAATGTAAAAATCTCTAAGAATCATTTTCGACTGATCTCCATAAGTTCCCTAATTTATATATGACAGTTGGAAAAGCAAAAAAGTAACTTTTATAAATGAAAAAAAGAACATAACAAATTAGTAATTACGAATGTTTTATTTCTTCTTTTGAAGACAGTTGCGGATGATAAGCAGTTTCTTATGAAATCGTCTGTCAATTAAATCTTAGAGAGATACAGATGCATGGAGGTTTCCGTTGCCTTTCATGCCACAGCGCGTTACGCGGGAAATAATGCCTTTACAGAGGGTATTTTTAAGGATAACTGGCCCCTATTTCAGGCGTTAGAGATATGGAGAAAACCCAGAAAACTCTACGTGACCAGTCCGACCTGGCGTTGCGCGAACTCAAGACAGAACTCAAAATGTTTAGCGAACAGTAGCGCTTGGCCACTGGTGGGCTCGCAATTACAACTAGTTATAAATGGGATCAAAGTAGCAGTTTCTCTAATGCTAAGTAGCATACCGCGCAGCAATTATCTTCCATCGATCTTGATCATGGGTGAGGACTTCAGCTTTCTCCTACGTCATATTGAGCGTCTTCAGAACTTGAAGAAAAGTTTTATGCCAAGTATTCCTGAGGCGTCGTCGTGGTCATTTTACACCAGGAGGAACCCATTCCATGGCTGTCTTAGTGGGCCTATTGTTTTCCATAGGAAAAGGTGGCCGGCTAATCGAATTTTTCTACAGGCGACAATGTTATGAGGTTCGCACATCCCACTCCTTCGGAGAACCTCTTCATTGGTGATATGATCTA